TGCCAGTCTGGTGCCCCTGGAGAGGCTCCTGGGCTCCTCCACGGTCCTCCCTCCCCCACAACCCGCCTCCCACTGAAAGCTGAGCCTGGCTGTGGCTTTCCCCGCTCTGCGAGCCCCTCCATTCTGCCCACCCTCTCCGCGGGGCTCTGGGAGCCCCTGACAGGTTGGCCCTGGCCTCCCTTTTCAGACTCTGCTCCCACCAGATGCTTCCCGTCCCGTGGACATCGTGAACACTCTCACTTCTGGCCTTGGTTCAAGCCAGGCCAGCCCCTGGATGCCCCCCTCAGCCCCCATCGACGCCTTACACATTCCTACCATCCTTCTAGACCTAGTTCAAGGCCCACTCCTTGCTCAGAGCAGACTGGCTTTCTCCTGTCTGGGTCCTCTTACAGCCTCTGGGCCAGTGTGATGGAGCACCCAAATCTGCTTGCGACCAGAGCTCCTGTGTCCCCCGGCTTCTCTCACGGGACTGTGAACCTGGAGGGCAGGGAGCATTTCCTTGTTTCCTCTGTCTCTTGACCACATCTCTTGGTCTCCACTGTGCCCCATCTCTGTCTTCCCACTGTTCTCTCTTTTTTCGAAATCCTTCCTTCCCATCTGGCTTTCCCATCGGTTCCCTCTCCCCCTGCCCCACTACTGGCGCCTCCATCAGTCAGGAAGGCCTGTGCTGTGCTGGATCCATGAAGATCCTCCTGGATGTGGGGGTGTCGAAGCTGCAGGGTGGAGCCTCCTGCCCCTCGCTGTGTCCCCAGCTGTTGGCCCTGCTGCCTGCTGAGTGGCCTTAGAGAGTCTCACTGCCAGGCCCACAATTGACCCACTGGGGCCCGTCTCCAAGTGTAGTCTTCCTTCTGTACCTCTCTGGGAGTGGATCCATTGACAAGGAGGCTGCAGGGGACCCGTGGAGCAGTCTGAACCAGAGTTCAGACCCAGAACAAACCCCATGGCCATGCAGAAGAGCAAGGATTGGCAGTTCGGGCTGTCAGGGAGTCCCAACCAGGAGCAGCCTCCATAACCTGAGCTATGGAGGCAGATAGTTGGGAAGAGGCATGGAGGCTCTTGGGCCCCCGGGATACCATCAAATGGTCCTGCCAAGGCTTTCCAGCTGAAGAAGCAGATCTGTTCTCTTGGCAGGGACAGACACTGGCCAGAAAAGAGGCCCAATAAGACCCACAATACATACCTCAAAATAGCAGAGTCAGCTCAAGGGGCGAGGGGAAGGAGAAACCAGCCCCAGTCCTGGCCTCAACATTGATTTGCTTTGTGAGCCTCAAATTCTTTATCTGTACAATGGGGTGTGGGTTGATAGCCAAGACAGATATCTGGATAAACATCCAACCCGTGAGACCATGGCTGTCACCGTGGTATGGATGGGCTCACTTGGGTCATTTAGTAACTGAGGGGTCGTGGATGCCCAGTGAGAAAGGGGCAGAGCAGGACCCTGGCTGGCTGAGCACAGAACAGCTATGGGAGTCCGGCAGTCAAATCACAGTGGTTAAGACCCCAGACTGTGGTGTTCAAGGAGATGGGGTCCAAATCCAGTCCTCCCTATCTTCTGGAGGTGTGACTTAACCTCAGTCTCAGTTTCTGGACCTGTAAAATGGGGCTATGATTCTTAGTTCATCCTGTCGTGGTGAGACTGGAATAAGGTATCTTAGGTAAAGCATTTAGACCAGTGTCAGGCATACACTAAACACTTGATTAATGTTGACTACTACTATATTGTAAGAGAGGACTATGTATTTAAAAGTCATCTTAGAACTTTCCTGGTGGTCCAGTGGCTGGAACTCTGTGTTCTGTGTAGGGAGACCAGGTTCAATCCCTGGTTGGGGAACGAGATCTTGCATGTAGCAGCTAAGACCTGACTCAGCCAAATAAATAAATAGATACATATTTAAAAATAAAATAAAAGTCATCTTGTACCATTAGGGCCAGCATAGTAAATGGCTGCCTTTAAAGTGATAGACTTTCAACGCCCGGTTGACCCACCCAGGGTGAAATAGCCTGAGAAAATGCTCATATAACCAGGCTCTGGGTCCCTTAAAAATTTATGCTTCTTTTTCAGATGACATAAAAATTATGTGTTGCCTATAAAAATTGGAAAACACATACACACATACACAAAATATGAACGTGAAATGAAGTGTTAGTCACTCAGTCGTGTCCCACTCTACAACCCCATGGGTTGTAGCCTGCCAGGCTCCTCTGTCCATGGAATTCTCCAGGCAACAATATGGAGTGGGTAGCCATTCCCTTCTCCAGGGGATCTTCCTGACCCAGGAACTGAATCCAAGTCTCCTGTATTGCAGGCAGATTCCTTACCATCTGAGCCACTAGGGAAGCCCAAAATACTGAAGACAAAGTATGGAAGAAAATAAAAATCACCTGCCCAGTTAGGTCTGGATTTGAATCTCAGCTCTGCCATTTATGTGACTGGGGAATGTTTAACGGTTCTGATCCTCAGGTTTCCCATTTGTAAAGTGGGGATAAATCATGCCCATATCAAAGGGTAATCATGAGGATGAAGTGAAATAATAAGAGTAAAATGTCACCACACCTAGAACAAGAAAGAATTATCATATGGATCCAGCCACTCACACTGTTCACACTTTTTGTATTTTCTTTTAGCTTTTTTCTATGCCCATATGATGTATATATAATATTAACATACATATATATATATTTGTTAATTTGAGACTGTATTGCCTATTCTTTTTATGTTAATATCATGAGGGGCTAACATAAGGGGGAGGGATCTGATTTTGAACCTAGGTATATTTTACTCAAATGGTTTCCTTTCTTTTTTTTTAAATATTTATTTTATTTTCCACTTTTGTCCATGCCACATGGCATATGGGATCTTAGTTCTTCAGCCAGGGATTGAACCTGCACCTCCTGCAGGGGAAGCACAGACTCTTAACTCTGGACTGCCAAGGGACGTTCCTTAAATGTTTTCCTTAATTGTTGTGTTTTAGTAAAGACACTGTTGCCCCCATCCCCCACCCCGTAGGGTTTCTCGACACTTTTTCCATTATTGTGCTTCCTCCCCAAGAAGACCTTTTACAACTTTTCCCCCTAATTCCCTTCCTTAGTGCATTTCTTCAAAAATGCTTTATTTTGATGAATTATTGATTCACACGAAGTTGTAAAAGATAGTACAGAGTGGTTCTGTATGCCTTTCATCTAGTTGCCCGCATATACCTTATGTTACATATACCTTATGTAACCATAATACAACATCAAAACCAGGAAGTTGACATTGGCACAATGTGTGTGTATAAGTTCTCTGTTCTTTATCACCTGTTGAATTGTGCAGCTCCCACCACGATCAAAACACAGAACTGCTCCATCACCATGAAGACCTCCTTGAGGTTCTCCCTTTAAAGTCATACCCACCCCTCCCCTTTTCACCATTTCTAACCCCCAGCAACTACTGTTCCATTTTCCATCTCCATAATTTTGTCATTTTGCGAATATTATATAAATGGAATCAATAGTATGTGACTTTCTGAGACTGACTTCACCACCCCGCCCCACCGCCACTCATCATAATACACATGAGAGCTATCCAAATTGCTGCATGTATCAATGTTTCATTCCTTTTTATTGCTGAGTAAGCTTCCTCAGTGGCTTAGCTGGTAAAGAATCCACCTGCAATATGGGAGACCTGGGTTCAATCCCTGGGATGGGAAGATCCCCTGGAGAAGGGAGTGGCTACCCACTCCAGTATTCTGGCCTGTAAAGTCCATGGGGACACGATTGAGCGACTTTCACTTTTCAATACTCCATGGTGTGAATGGACGGCAGCTTGTTGACCATTAACCCACGGATGGACATTGAGGCTGTTTCCAGTTTGGGCTATTAGAGACAAAGTTACTTTGAACAATCATGCATAGATTTTTATGTGGATATAAGTTTTCATTTACCTGGGATAAATGCCCAGCAGTGCAACTGCTGGGTCTTACAGACTGAGCGACTTTCATAGTAGTTGTACAGTACAGTTTTTTTTTTTTTGGTCTTAAAAGAAACTGCCAAACTATTTTCCAGAGTAGATGTACCAGCAGTGAATGAGAGATCCAGCTTCTCCACATCCTTGCCAGCATTTGGCCTTGTCACTTTTGTTACTTTAGCTATACTAATAGAGGTATAGTGATATTTTATTAATACCACAGGTATACTGTGTATCCATTTATGTTATATATATATGCATATACACAGATATACTATACATATTTATATATACATATATGTGTGAGTGCTCAGTCGCTCAGTTGTTTCTGACTCCTTGTGACCTCATGGACTGTAGCCTGCCAGGCTCTTCTGTCCATGGGATTCTCCAGGCAAGAACACTGGAGTGGGTTGCCATTTCCTTCTTCAGGGCATCTTCCTGACTGAGGGATTGAATCCATGTCTCCTGTGTCTCTTGTGCTGGCAGGCAGATTCCTCACCACTGAGCCGCCTGGGGATCCCATATATACATATGTATACATACATAAAAGAGCAGAAGATTTTTCAATCTCTCTCTCCCAGTCAAAAACCTATTTTTACCTTCTTGGGGATGGCATCACCGCCATGCTTCTCCCAAGCCTTTTAGCTAAGAGAAGGCACCCAGGGTTTGCTGAGACACTTTAATTGCTGAACCAACACCCAGGCATCCGGGGAAGCAGCTGGTGTGGACAGGTTTGGTGTAGCCATTGTTTGAAGAACAAGGCCATAGCCTTGAACAAATGAATTAACTACTTTGACCCCAGGGTGAACTGCTTCGTCAGAGGCACTAGGATGGGGACCCCAGCAAGAAGTGGAGCATAAAGAGCCTCCGTTCTGAGTTCAGGTTCATCTCAAAGCAGGGTGGCCTCCAGTAGCTAGTGGTACCTGAAAGATGCTCAGGCTGTGAGCTCTGCATTTCAGGGGGCTCTACAGAGCCCTGCATCCCACTGCCCTGACAAGAGCCCACAGCACCCCCTAACCCCCCCGCCCCCCGCCACCCCTGATCCCTGACTCACCCAAGCCAAAATGAGCCACGGGCTCCATCTCGCACAGGTAGCCTGAGCCCCCATCGATGATCCTCAGGTGCGCCCCGCTCTTCTTGGTGTAGAGCACGACCTTGGCACCCCTGGCAAAGGCCCCAAACCGGGTTCGTGGCACCACCCTCAGCCAGTTGTTGCTGAAGCCCTGTAGCGGGGGAGGAACGCAGGTCTGGGCATCAGCCGGGTGGGTGGAAGGATCAGAGAGGAGGAAGAGGGGGAGAAGAGAAGGGGCAGAGGAAAGAGAGGAGGAGGGAGCCAGGCAGGGAGGGTGAACAAGGCGGACTGACTGATTGAAGCTTGCCAGGAGCAGCTCTGCAGAAGAGCAGGGAAAGCCAATTGGTGTCTTATTGTTTAGTCACTCAGTCGTGTCTGTCTCTTTGAGACTCTGTGGACTGTAGCCCGCCAGGCTCCTCTGTCCATGGGATTTCCCAGGCGAGAATACTGGAGTGGGGTGCCGTTTCCTTCTCCAGGGGATCTTCCCGAAAATAGGCTCAGGGAAAACAGTTTTTGGAGATGTGCCAGTGGGAGAGGGGCAGAAGACTTCTCTGAGAAGCAGCCCTATTCGGGCGCTTACTGAGTGTCTGGGACCTCATCTGCTTCCTTCCTGGGATGTCCTGCCATTCCGGTCAAACAAGCACCCCAGCCTCCTCTGTTCTGTTCCTCTGTTTATCCCAGGCCCAGGGGAGCATGCCAGGCATGGCTCCGAGGGTCCCCAGGTCCAGGCACACCTGATTCCCCCGGAAGACGGACAGCGGCTGAGCCATGGACTCTCCGTGGGACAAGATGAGGTCCAGCATCCCGTCTCCATCGAAGTCGGTCACCACGCCCCCTGCAACAGCACAGATTTCAGTCTGGCCATCAGTCAGGAGACCAACAGGGGGAGGGCTCCTGACCTGGGCCAGTCCACGCCCTGAGTGTGAAGGAAAGAGCACAGCGCTGGGGCATGAAGGCTGGACCATGAAGCTCCTCTCCTTCTAATAGCTGCTCATGATAGGAATTTGTGGAAATCGGGTGGGGGTCCCTTTCCTTCCCCTGGACTTTTGCAAGGAGAGTGTGGGTGCAAACAACTTGGATGCTGAGGGCTTCTGTCTGGTCTGTTATACATAATATAGACACATGCACAGTTTTTATCAGTTATCATGTGTTTGCATATACTGGTCTCCTTTTTGTCCTCACCACAACCCAGAGACATGAAGAAGGCACATGCAGTTATCCCCATTTCATGGGTGTGGAGAACAAGACCCAGAAGATGGAGCACCTTCTCCAAGACAATGGCAATGGCAGGGCCAGGTCTTAGGCCTCCTGATCCAGTGCTCTTTCTCTGCTACCAGCCTGAATGCCAGGAGGTGTCAGACTGCAGGACCCCCAGCCTCTCTTCTCTTTCCCCTCCCGGCATAGCATCAGCAGAGACACTACTGCCCATGGCTCCCCATGCCTGTGACCCCACAGCCCTGGGGCTGGGAGAATGGACATTTCTCTCCTCTGCTTCCGGCCTGGCACTTCCAGGCCCCTCCCTGCCCCTGCCCCGGGGCTCAGCCTTCAGAGTGGGTGGGGACAGGACAAGCCCGGCTATGGGGCTGGCTGCAGCGTCCCTGCTAAGGGCAGCAGTGAGCTGGGGGAGAGCAGGCTGGAGCCCTCAGGTGTCCTCACCTGTGCCCCGGCCTTCAGGCTCCAAGGCATCGCCAGGGTTGAGCTCCTCAATGAGGGGGTCGCCGTGCTCCCTGCGGATGATGCTGCAGGAGAGGAGACAGGTGGTTTACAGAGGACCACACCTGGCAAAGCCCCAGTGGGTCCTCTGGACCTGGGAGTCCACTAACTCCATTCTCCATGCCCTGAGCACCCCGAGACCCCGCTACCTGCACACTGACAGAGCCACTCTGCTTACAGACCCTGTCTATACCCTGGCTGTGCCTTTCTCGGGTTTTAATTTATGTTGGTAAATATTGATTTTTCCTTCTCTAATGGATGAATTATAGACAGCCTGGGGAAGGGCAGGTGATGGATGCAGAAGGGGCAGGGACACAGCTACCTTCAACTGACCTTCACTTTCCTTCACGTGGCCCTGGGTTTTCGAGTTCTGGATTGCGCAGGGTCCCACCCCACCCCAATGCCACCTCCTCCACGCCCTCCCTGATCGTCCAGCTAGAAGCAGTGCTTTCCTGCTCTGCCTCTGTCACTTTCCTGGCCTTTAACACTTTCTGCCTCAGGTTGAAGCTCTGCATGAATGTATCTCATCTCCTCAGTTAGACTGAGTTCTTTGCAGGCTGGGACCATGTATTCTTCTTCTTTGCATCTCCTGCAGCATCTAACAGTGCCTGGTTCTTAGGAAGCTCCAAGTGCATGTCTGTGGCCTGCATGGAGGAATTTCGGAGGCAAAACGGAGGGAAGGGTCCCTTTGGGTTGCTGGGGTTCTATTTTGCACTCTGAATCATGGTAACATTCGCTGAAGACAAGTCCACGGTGAAAGTGCTGCTCTTCTTGCACTTTGAGCTGAATGCTGACGATGGCCTTGACTTCCTCTCCAATTTTTCTCCCTCGTTAGGGTCTTGCAGCCTTGGGTGCTCTGTGCTGGCTGTGTGGAGCAGTTTTGGGGTTAGGGTCAGGGAAGGACCAGGAGGGATCTATATCGCTCTTCCCACACATTGCAGGTGGGGCTTGTTGCTCCAATCACAGGGTCACCAGAGGGCTGTGCTGTAGTCAGTGCTTTCTTTTAGGAGGAGGCCAGGGTTCCCTGAGCTGGAGCTTCTGGGGGCTGGATGGCAGAGGGGGCTGGCAGAACTGCAGGGTGGGTGTAGGCTAGAGCACGTACCTGAGACGTGTTCTCTGTCCACACACGGCAACTGCACTGAGTACAACCCCGTGTGCAGCCTGGCCAGTGAACAGCATGCCTGGCAGTGTGCACGCCTGCTGGGTGTACATGCCTCAGCCCGCTAGCACCCACAGTCCCTTTGGCCATTCGTGTCCTGTAACCTCTGTCACCACTGGGCAGAGACACCCCGGGGTTCAGGTGACAATGCAGTTAAGGGTTCCTGGGGGAGAAAGCCCAGAAGTTCCAGTGCAGAGCTGGGCAAACTCACCCAGATTTGGGCAACCAGGGCAGGCTTCTTGGAGGAAGGATCAACAAAGCTGAAACCAGAACGATGTTCATGTCACTCAGAAGAGAAAGAGGGGCAGAGGGTGTGGGCAGCCTGAGAGTCCAGGCCCGGCCCAGCCCAGAACTGAAGGAAGCTCAGGGTGTCTGGCCCTAATGTGTAAACCAGGAAATAGAGAGTGACAAGGCTGGGGACAAAGGAAGCCTACGGGATGTGTCAAAGAGAAGGTGGTGGCGGTGGGGGCTTCTAAGGGGTTTAAGTGTAAGAGGGGTGTGGCCAGAATTGCATTTTCAACAGCGTGCTCTGTGGAACTGGGCACAGAATGGCAGCTAAGGAGCGTGAATGTGCAGGGGTGGAGCCATGGGGACGGATCAGCACGTTAGGCGTGTAAATGGTGCCACTACATACATCCTGCCTGGCCGGGAAGAGTCCTCGCTCCAGCCCGTGGTCCTGCCATTATTAACAGGGGCCCTGCATGCTTGTTTAGCCCCTGGTGTGGGCGATGAGCTCTCTGGTTTCCCAGGCATCACTGAAGGGCTTGTGGACTCAAGCCCAGTGAGGTTTTGCATCTCCAGGGACTCCTACAAGGAGCCCACCATGTTCATTTCAGCAATAGGTCAAAAGCCCGCTTGGTGTGGGGTAGACGGGGGCTCAACTTCCAGAGTTGCCAGCTGAGTGGTGGCCCCAGCCACCAGGGACCAGCCACGAGGCCCACAGGGACTCGGGGCACAACCATGTATCTGGGAAGTGGCTTTCTTGCTGCTGCATGGAGGTGGACACACTGACCCACAGGATGACCATGTGGTGGGGTGACCATGTGGTGACCATGTCTGTGGACAGCCCGGGCCAGCCTGCCCTCGGGATGGCCAGAGGGAGGCTGGGGATTTGATGGAGGCCATGTGGGCAGGGGAGATGGCCTGGGTTCTCGGGCCACAGAGACTCTCTGGTGCTCAGGGGACCGGGTGAGGGACACTTTATTAACCAGAGAAGGAAAGCAGTGTCTCTGTTAATGAGCAATTGATCTTCTGCAATTAATCTGGAAGTTGTGAATAAGCTTTTTGCGAGGCACCTAATTAGTAAATCTGGGGCCTTCGGGGGGGTGATTACAGCCGGTCGGGATTGATGCTTTGTTAATAATTATATTTTAAAACACGCTTAGTCACAGCCCTCGCCTTTTATTAATAGTTGGGGGCCCTCCTGGGGGAGGGGGTGGGGCCTTGGGGAACCGAGCAGATGATGTGGCCCATTTCCTGCATCCAAGGCCCTGGGCCACCCCCCTCTCCCCACCTGGTCCTGAGGCCCATTAGCATGTTTCAGTCCATCTCAGGCCACATGGGTCCTGAGGTTTGTTCCCCAGCAGCAGCTCTCCAATCTCAATGTGCTAAGAATCACCTCATGCCTAGCATATGTGTTAAAAAGACAGATGTCTGGGCCTCAACCCTGGAGATTCAGACCCGGGAGATCTGGGCTGGGCCTAGGGATTCTGTATTTTAAATAAGCACTCCAGGTGGTTCTGACACCAGTGGTCTCTGGGCCCCAATTAGAGAAGTGCTTCCTTGGAAAATCTAACCCCTCCTCCTTACGTGCAACACTCAGATGCTTCCACTCTTGTCCACCACTAATTGTCTCATCCAACATTTCCCAAAGGATATTTTGCAGAGCACCAATCCTAAAAGCAGAAACTCTGAAGGCAGTGCCCTGTGGTCAAATCTATTTGGAATACTCCATCCACCTCTCAGAGCGTAAGATACTCACGGTCATGTTAAGGTTCTGAGAGGTCCTGTAGTCAATACACCTGTCTTGGCTTCATCCAGGTGTACCCAAACAGATTTGGCTCTGGGACCCCTTTGGATGGTAGAGTGGAACCTGACTTCTGCGTACACTTTGCCCAGGTCCCCCCCACCCCCACCCATTTCCACCCTCTGCTAACAGCAGGAGTTCAGCTTCCTGCCTGGGATTCTCCATTCATTCTCTCAACTTCTTACTCAACTCCTGTCCTTCCCTCTTCTCTGCTCCTCCACTGGGGGACCTGCCTCCTCCCTCCCTTTGGAGCTCCTCCTCTGAGTCCTAAACCTTCCTCCCTGACCCCACTGCGAAGGGTGGGTAGTCACAAGCTGGGCTGAAGCATCTACCGGAAGAGGCGGTTGGCTGAGGAGCTGCGGTGGGCGAAGTTGTTGAAGAAGACCTCCAGCTCCTGGTCATTGTCAAAGTCAGCGGCGATGACTGTGCGGACTGGGGAGGGCATGGAGAACTTGGGCGAGGCGATGTCCTGGGGGAGAGAGGGCTACAGGTCAGTGGACAGAGCGGGCCAGAGGCTGACTCCCACCACCCCTGTGTGTGCATGTGTGTGCATTCCTGTTTGTGTGCAAAGATAAAAACCCAAGCTAGCACATCCTCTATCATCTTTCCCGTAAGGGCCCCAGGGTGCTGTGTTTAGGACCACACGAACCCCAGGGTGCTTGTAGGAGAACAAGGAGGTAAGAGGAACAGTCCAAATTTACACCAGGGAAGCGCCTTGCTGTTCCCTGGTCAGGACCAAACGTGGCCCTCCCATCGGTCACTTGAGGCAGGGCTGACATGAGCATTCCCATTTCACAGGCAAGGTAACTGAGTCCTGGAGAGGAAGGAAATTGCCCATTGTTGTAGCTAATGAGCCGGGCCACCACCTGGCTCTGACACCAGCTGCTAGGCCCTTTCTAGTATTTGCCTTTCCTCTTCCACAGCCAGAGGCACAGGCTGGGTGGAACCTAGGAAGTCCTGTGCATTGAATCCAGGCCTCTTTGCTGACTCGCTGTGTGATCTCAGGCAAGTTACTTAACCCCTCAGATCTCACCTTCCTCCTTAGTAACACGGGGATAAGTAATAGCTGCTCAGGCTGTGAGGACTGCATGTAAAGAGCTTGGCAGAGTGGGCTCAAGATAAATCCCAAGGGGTCTGTCCTGGCCTCGCCCCTGCTGTCAGCCTCATGGAAAGCGGCAGAAGTGGCCTTCAGCTGGGTATTGCTGCCTCTATTACCTTTTTTCTTGGAGTCTTTTGATTTTTTTTTTCCTTGAGACATCCACTTTGGGACTTGCAGTATCGGATACCTCTGCCCAGGGCTCATGAGGAGACCCCAGACCCAGGACAGCCCAGCAGGGACCTTGGAGTGCTGACAGGACCTTGGTGGACCTGGCAAAGGGTCCCATCTATGGGACTTTTAAATAGAAGAAAAGCTGTGTCGGGAGATCTTTTTTTTCCTGAACAGAATATCCATTCCAGGTGGGTTTGTCACTTAAAGACTTAGAAACCTGTCTAAATCCCAGGGCCCATGTGGGGTGAACTGGGAAGGGCACATGGGGGCTTCTTGGGGTGGCTCCCTGCCCCTTGGCCCCAGGGCTCCTACTTCAGGCTCTCTCCCCTGGTGGCAGGAATGAGCTGCTTGCTCTGGGTTGCCCAGGAAGGGAGGCTGTCCCCATCAATACAGTCATGAGGCTGATTGAGAGCCTGGCCAGCTGTCGAGGGTGGGCTGAACAGGGCCATGAGAGCTGGTAACAAAGAGACTTCAGGACCTTGAAGTTGTTATTATTCTATTGATTCTGTAAAAATGGAAACCTACATAGGCCCCTTGGGGTTGCCCCAGCTGGATGCCTGAGCTTCCAAGATAATGTATGTAAGATGCTTAGCACAGCTCCTGGCACATGGAAGGCACTTGATAAATGGGGCCTCTATTATTATTATTATTATTGCTCCTGTGAGCTCTGGGCTGGGCTGTCGAGAGGGTTGGTTGACATTTGGGGCTGGATCACTCTTTGTTGCAGACTCTCAGGTGCCTCATAGGATGTTTAGCAGCACCCAGTCCTCTGCACATGATGCCAGTAGCACCTGATCCCACCTGTGATAACTGATAATGTCCCCGGACATCATCAAATGTCCTGGGGTGGGGACAAAATCACCCCTGGTTGAGAACTGGGTTAGAATAAAAAGCTGAACAGAGATGAAAATCACCCAGGATCCTAGGATCAGCTGTCCCAAGTTCAGGGTGTCCCTCCTCCCCACCCAGACAGCCTGGGTCTCACACCTCTATAGGGAGAAAGCGGCTGGACCTGAACACGCCGAGGTGGCTACCTTCAGAGAGGGGGCTTGTGGTGGCCCCTCAGAGAGAAGGTCCCTGGAGACTTCTCTGGGACCATCAAGTTTCTTGCTCCCTTGGGGGCTTTCGGCAATACTACGTACCTCCAAGCCATCCTGACTCCTGGAGAGCATCTCTAACCATCCCATGCCCTGAATCACCTTCCCTGAGAAAGGTCCAATCTCAAGCTCATTAGCCTGGTGGCACCTCCCTTCCTGCCACCAAACAGTCTTTCTGAGGAATTCTCGGCATCACAGACCATTGATAGCTCAGAGAGGGGGCACAGAGAGGGGTCTGACATCACCTTGCCCACCACATGCTGTTTGGCCAGAGGGGGCAGCTGTTGGGAGCTCTGTGACCTCAACCTACTCTGACCCTCACTCCCACTGTACCCTTGGCCTGAGCCTCAATTTGAAATGCTCAGGCCCGGGCTATGGGAGAAGTGCTCCCAATTCAGACAACGAAACCCCTCTCATGGGGCCTTTGCCCTGACCCACCTTGGGGGCTGCTCTCTTTCCTCTGCTAATGACCATGCTCTGGACATTATGGATAGCACAGCAGCCCTGGGCTGGCCGGATGTCACCTTCGCTGTGGCCACCCTGCCCCCAGGCTCTGCAGAGCCTGCTCACCCTGGTGGGAGTCAAGGGCGGATAGAGGGTGGGGAAGTGGGGGAGAGGCCCCTTCTTACCCGAAAGCGGACCTTCCCGTGGGCGCTCATCTGCAGGTAGAGGCGGTGGGGGCCGTTCCAGTTGCCATAGACGATGTCCACTTTGCCATCACGGTTGAAGTCCGCCAGGGCGACTCCACGCCCGTGCTGGTGGGGGTCATCCACACCTAGGAGGAAAGGCAGGAGCCCTCAGTGTCTGTAGGGTCCACAGACACTCGCCTTGGCGGGGGTCGGGGTGGGGCTGGGGAGGCGTGGAGAACAACCAGGGAGGATGAACCTCATTGTGTCCTGATTCCTCCACAAGGGCAGAAGCAGGGAAGCCGCCTGGTTGCAGAGAGAACCAGAGACTTGTTTTCAGGATGCCTTTGCCCAGAAAGTGTTACTTTTTACTTGGTTTCAGGGTAGCATGACTTTGGGGAAGAAGACTTGTGGAGATCCTGGAGGACTTAAAGCCTTCCCTAGCCACCCTTGACGTGGGGATACATTGAGTTGATCATCACTCTTTCGCTTAAATCTCAGTGATTCCCCAGTGCTCTTGAGTCAAGTTCAAATTCCTGCCCACCTTATCTGTCTTTATCTCGCCTTCCTCACAAGCACCAGTCATACAGGATTCCTTTCATTCCTCAAATGAACCAAGCTCTTTTCAGCTTCTGGGCCTTTGCTCAAGCTGGTCTCTTCTCCTAGAATGCTCTTTCCCCAGCTTATGGTTACCTGGCTCCTTGTTTCTCTTCTGCTCTCAGCTATAATGTCACCTCCTCAGGAAAGCCTTCCCTGATCACTCCCATAAAAACAGCCCCTCCCACCCACCCTGCTATTCATCCCAACAGCCTCCCATTCTCCTCCATTGTGCGGATCACAGGTGCAATTATGTTCCATTGCAGGGTCCAGTTTTTCTACTAGACCTTCTGCTCCATGAGGTCAGGGTCTGTCTTCCTGTTCATCTGTGTTTCCATAGCATCTATCTCAGTGTCTGTGGTGATCTGGCAGTTTTCTGTAAATACTTACTGAATGAAGAGACATAAATAATTTGACAGAAGGCAATCGGGAACTTGGGTGACAGCAGGGGAAATAACTGCTCCGTGACTGAGAAAACCACAGTTCGCCTTGTGAGATCTGCGGGAGAAGCTTGTGTGTCCAGTGTCACCTGTCTGCGCTGGGCCTGCATCGGCCAGGGGCCAGTGGGACTGAGCTGATCCTCGGGGAGGGCAGAGGGTGGCTTTGCCCAGAGGGGTGGCCTGACCTCCTGGCTGCCCCTGGCAGACACGGTCCCTTAGGCCAAGTGCACAGCTGAGAGGCAGGAGAGGCCAGCTCTAAACACCCACGCTGAGTCTTCTGGAGGACAAACTGCCGTTGGCAGGTGAAATGATAGTATGATGGGGGATGGGGATCACGGACCCAGGACCCAGGTAGCTCTTGCCAGCTGTGAACATGGAGATCTGAGATGGGGGCCAGGAGAAGGCAAGGTGGGATCTGCCCTGGGAGCCTTAGAGGCTGATCACCCTCTTGGGGGAGGGAAGGATTTGGAGAATGGGTGGGGGTCGGGCAGAAGAGGCAGGGAGACCCAGGCTTGAGAAAGAGGGCTTGCAAAACAATGGGGGCACCCCCCAACCTCTAGGGTTAATACCTCATTAATTCTCCATAAAATGTCCCAGCTCTAATGTTGGTGGCCTTCTGCATTGGCCCATTTCTCTCCTATCTACGAGGCACCTTGACAAGGAGTTGGTTCCCTTTCACGGGAATAATCGGTGCCAGGCTGCACTTCACAGCAGCATCTGTTTGGGTGATGAATGCCCTCTTGACATGTCTCGTTAAACCCCTGCAATCACTCTGACTTTCAATTATGGGCCTAGCACCTTTCCTCTCTCTTCCCGCCTGATACCTTCCCCCACTCCAACTTGTTCGTTCACCTCTGCTTCCATCTCTTTAACACCTTATCAAGTCCTCTCGGTTTTCTCCACCACCACCTCCCCTTCATTTATGATTTCTCAGCAATGAGAAAATTTGCTGCCGGAGTGTACAGCAGGTGAGCTGGGTGGGAAGAGAGGTCGGGGAGCTGCCTCTACCTTTAGCTTTGCCTGGAGAAGGAGACAAGGGGAGCTGATCGGCTGCAAGGATGCGTTGGTGGGGTATTCAAAATGGGAACTCTGGAGCAGAGCACTGGAAGGGCAGTTAAGTCACAGAGAATGGATTGGTACCTGCTCAGGGATTGGATGCTAGCTGTCAGCACTAGCTGGAGCTTGTAGGACCTTTGATCTATGTGTCTACATCCCCGCTCACCTCTTCTCCTGGAGACTGGAGCTTGTCTCTACACTGCCGAGAGGAGGAGAAATCAAACCTCCCATTCCTGGGCAAGGCGAGTGGGGGGAGGTACCAGGTGGGGAGAAGTAGTTGAAGGGCAGACTGATTACGTCCAGAAGCTTTTATTATGTGTCCCAGTCCTTGCAGACACAGACAGATGGTTACAGTGGTGTAGGAGCCTGAGTGAGTGGTGCCCGCAAGGGCAGTGGGAACACAGAGGAGGGGGTGCAGTCTCAGCCAGGCAGCACGTAGGGAGGCTGGAAAGTCTTCACAGACAATATCTGAATGAGTATTGAGGGACTGATAGAAGTTCTGCAGGTAGAGAAGGGGGACGGGGCACTTCAGGTGGAGAGAACTGGCAGGTGCAAAGGCCCTGAGGCAGAGGACAGATGAGCTCAAAGGGAGGAAGGGGAGCAGGGCTAGGAGCCTGATACTACTTTGGATGGATTTTACTCTGTTTCTTATTATAGCTATTCATTTACTTGTCTCCTTCCCCCTCTAGATCCTCAGTGCCTTGTATATGGGGGGTGAGAGTGGGGTAGGGTGATCTTACTCAAGTCAGGGTCCCCAGCTCTTAGCACCAGCCTGACCCTTAGCAGGGGCTCAATTAATGATCACTAGATTGAGCTGAATGTTTAAGATGGATGTGGGATTAGAGGTGACATGCAACATTAGTTGTGCAGATGGTGACTCGTTCTCTCTCCCTGGCGCCTGTGGGGCCTGGAGGGAGCAGGGCAGCCCAGAGTCCCCTGTGGGTGGGGGTGGGGGGCACAGGGCAGAGGCTGCACTCACCAGCGCTGGCCGCAGCATCCACGAAAGTGCCGTCACCCCGGTTGTGGAAGAGGAAGTTGGGCCCGTTCTCATTGTCGCAGAAGATATCCGAGGCACTGCTGCTGAGGATGGGGCCCACGCTGACGCCCCGACCCCCTGGAGAGGACATTGACCTTCACTAAGCGGAAGAATCAAAGCCCGAGGCCCGCATAGAGGATGGGGGAGGCCTTGGAGGCAGGCGGGGGGCCCTAGAGAAGCTGCAATAGTGATGCCCCAAGGAGCCTGGGGAAGGGGGATTCTGATATTTATGATGTTCCTTGGAGCCCAGATCTGGGCTCATGGTTCCATAAACTGATGTAGTGGGTGGCTGCACTGCTGGTGAGGCAAGTGAGGAGCAAGACAGAGTCATTTAGTGCCCACGGAATGAGTCCATGAGTTGAGGAACACAGGCCACCATGCAGAGCTTTCCCTTCCCTTCGGTAACTGAATTCTACTCCTAACCTCACCTCTGCTGACAACATTTTGATTAAGTCACAGATTCCGTGACAGCCCCCTGCCTTACCCTGATTGCATGTATGCTGGTCAAGATACTGGGTGTGTTCCCATTCTAAGGACCTAGAGAAATAGGTTCCAGGCACAGGTACAAGGATGCCTCCTTTGCTTTGACTGATGTAGGAAACAAACGTGAGCACCTGCCTGTCTGTCCATCAACAGGGATGCTGAATGGATTACAGTGCATCCATATGACGGCCAGTCTGCAGCTGCTAAAAAGACTGTGTAGATCCATAATATTGACTTGGAGGAATGCCCATGACATATTGTTAAATGAAAAAGCAATTTGCCAAGTAATGGTATCATATGATCCTGTTTTTATTTTTTAAAAGGAAAACAAATTATATTCCTGAATATATGTTTGTGCAAACTTGTTCTTGAGTTTTGGGAAAAGTGGGGAAGGCCACACCCTGAGCTGTTCACACTGGCTGCCTTTTTGGGGGAATGTCTGTATTGTTTGGCTTATTGCAACAAGAATTGCTTCTGCAGTTTGAAAGGAAAAAATCCAATAAAGTGTATATTTTTTAAGGAAAAAAAGAAAGAAAACCAGCTCTATGTTAGGGTTTGAAGTGCCCAAGATCGATGTGGACATGTCACCAAGTCCAGTCTTAAGATATCTTGAACAAACCACCCCCAACCAATGAATTTCAAATAAAGCCCTGAAAGCCTTCCCTCTGCCCCACCCCCACCCCAAGTTCAGGGCGGCAAATAGAGTGACCACAACCAGGATGTGGGTTCTAGTCCCAGCTTGGCTTTTTTGATCTTGGGCAATTCATGTTACCTGGTTAACCTCAGTATTCTTATCTATAACATGCAGATAGTGTGACCTGCCTTTTCTCTTTCAGGCCTTTTGAGAGGATCAAATGAGGTGAGAAAACTAAGAGGATCAAATGATGGGAAAGGTCTCTGTGAGCCCTACAACTTCGCTACTCAGAGTCAGGTCCATGGACCAGTTGCAGGCGTGTCACCTGTGAGCTTGTCAGAGATGCAAAATCTCAGGTGCCTACTCACCCAATCAGGACCTGCATTCTAACAGGATCCCCGGGTGGTTTATGTGCACAGGAAAGTTTGGAAAGTACTGCTCTGAAGGGCTGTTTAGTACAATAACTGCAGTTTATTAGGGCACTCAGAAGAATGTGATTAAAAAAAAAAAAATAAATGAGAGCTCAGTGGACCTGACTGATGCTGGGTTAAGCTCCCTCATTAGCCCACCTCCAGACAAGGCAGAGGTTTCCACTATGGATGATGTGAAGAACTGACTCATTTGAAAAGACCCTGATGCTGGGAAAGATCGAAGGTGGGAGGAGAAGGGGACGACAGAGGATGGGATGGTTAGATGGCATCACTGACTTGATGGACATGAGTTTGAGTAAACTCCAGGAGTTGGTGATGGCCAGGGGAGCCTGGCATGCTGCAGTCCATGGGGCTGCAAAGAGTCGGACATGACTGAGTGACTAAACTGAACTGAATTTGGGATGGAGGTTCTCTTGGTCCCCAGGCCCTTCTCTTCTCTGAGATTTGTCCTTGGAGGAAATCATGGGACCTTTCTCACCTGTGGAGCCTGACCACCAGGGGCCAGCTTTGGGGGCAGGGGAACAGACTGGGGCAAATGGCATTGCTACAGGGGTCATTGTAGGGCTCCTTGTTAACACATTCTGGGCCCTGTGCCTCCCGATTCCTCCCAGGTAATCTAATTAACTCTCAAGGAGAGCCGAAGCCTCATGAAAACAGTCATTGAATCCACAGTGCTTCCAGGAAGTGTCATCCAAGTTGCACAGGGCAGGCATTTTCATTAGGAGAGCCATGCACGGGGCTTTCAGATGCTTTTCTTTTCCTAAGTCAGCAGGAAGGGTGTTGGGCTAATACCTGGGCACCTCTTCTGCCCATTCAAGGAGTTGCCGCTAAGTGGTTGCTGGTCCTGCCCTTGTCTTGCCAGACTCCAGCCCAGGAGCAGGCTTCGGTGAGAAATCCTCCATCTTGTCTGGACCCCCAACAATTCCAGGTGGGGCTTCAGGACTTGCTGCCCTGCAACTCCATCCTTCTTCCCCCGCTCCAGCATCCTCCAATTTCCTCTCTGCCTCTGACTCCCAAGCTGTGACACATTCCCTTCATTTTCTCCAAAGCAGGTTATTTCCCTCTTGGACAAATTTCTAAATCTTTCTAATTAACTAATTGGGTTGGGTTGAAGCCTTGCACCATTTGTAACCTGTAATTACTAGAAAATTGCCATGGTAACCACACTACTAATTAGTGACAATTTATTGCCATGGCAACTGGACCGTAACAGAGATGTTACCCACAACTCCTTCTTGGCAAGTTCACCACACAGTTGGGGAGCAGGTGAGTCAACAGTTGGGGAGCTAGCCTCCTGGGCACCAGCTGTAGCAGACTCAGGATGGAGGGTCTAAGGGGATCTGAAGCAGGGGCAGCCAGGTACCTGTACCCCTCTCTGAGGCTGAAAGGGGATCTCTACTCCCTGGTCCATCAGGTAAGGGCTCTTAGGACCCATAAAATCCATCCATCTTAAGTGTAGCCTGACCCTCCCACTCCATGCCCGGTCAATGACAGAGGCCCGTTATTCAGCAAGTATCTTGTCTAGACCTTGCCCTCTCCACTAGCTCTTTCCCTGACTTTACCCCATCTTCTCTGTCACACCCACCCTGTTTCTTGGCCTCTGAGGTTTAGCACACATCCTATGGGACTACCCCAGGGCAGTTAGGAACATCTTTATTCAGCCTTGGAAAATGATGTCCCAATAGGGAGTTAAACTCTACTTTACATCAATTAATTATTTTATACTTGAGGCCAGAATATTCTCTTGGGGGCATGCAGCTCTGCAGTTGGGGCTAGAAAGGCGCATTGGTGGTGGGAAAGATTGGGGGGGGGTTGGTCAGGAAGTTAGAGTTGTGTGACCTTGGGCATGTCACTGAGTCTTTTCAGGCATCTGGTTTCTCACCTATAACTCGAGACTGATAATAATAACCCCTTCTCAGGCTGTCATAAGTATTAAGTGAGCTGGTATTTGGAAGGTACCTTGGAAAACGTCAAGTGCCACAGACTCATTAGTGCCACTATTTCCCACCTGCTGGGAGAATAATATCCCTTTATTTTGCCAACATACTCAAGCTTCAAAGACCTCCTTGTTCTGCTGCTGAGTATGAATGCAGCTCCCTCCCCACCCCTTTCCGAAGGCTTCTCACTCTGCCCACCAGACTGGCTGGGAGAGAGGGTCACAGGGGGAAATGCTTCCCTATGGCCCCCTCTTTCTCCAGTCAGTTTCAGGCACCCCCCTGATGGTCAGCTCCGTGGGTCTGAGCCCACGGGGCAAGCCTTGCTCATCCTTAAGAACTTCACCCCTAAACCTCTGAACCTTACACTTGGGAGATGCAGACCCAAGTCCAATTTAGGTGCAGAGGGCGTCAGAGGATGAGATGGCTGGATGGCATCATTGCTTCAATGGATGTGAACTTGGGCAAACTCTAGGAGATGGCGAGGGACAGGAAGGTCTGGTGTGCTGCAGTCTATTGGGGTCGCAAAGTGTGGGGAAGACTGGGCGGCTGAACAACAACAATCCATCTCTCAAACCACATGAGGGCAGCCCTCATGGCTGAGGGTGGGGAAGGGAAAGAGGGGTTGTAGGAAGCTGGGGGCATGCTGCTGCACCACCCCAAACAGTACAGCAGAGGGGCCGGGATGAAGAGGCGCGTGATTCGCTGTGCTAAGGAGGAGCCCCCAGGGTCTGCCTGGAGCGGCAGGAACTTGGGGAGTCTGCCCGCCAGGCCTTGGTCTCCCTCCCTGCGAAATGGCGTCGGGGTGGGCTGAGAAGGTCTCCAAGGCTCCTTCCAGCTCTACTTTTCAGGGCATTCTTCAAGCCTGACCTCAGGATAAATGTGGCTGGGAGTGGATTCCTGGACCCATTCACAGTCCGCACCATGGAGGCTCTGCAGTGAGGCTGTCAGACAGGGAACTTGGACCTGTGGGATTATTCTGCTGATTAGTAATTCCAGGGGATGCTAAGGCCCACAGGCTGCCAAGAACGCCTAAGATATTAAAAGAGTAGCAAAGCAGTGGAACATGAAGGGGTGGAGGAATGAACAGTGTGTGTGTGTGTGTGTGTGTGTGTGTGTGTGTGTGTGTTGGAGAACAGGTGTGAGAAGGGCAGGATGGTAACAGTCCAAATTTCCTGAAGCTTCTAACACAATAATACTGTGTTGGTGCTGGTGTTGCTACCGCCAACCCTGTGAGAGCCGTCCAGGTGCTGGGCAGAGTTCTGAGTGTGCCAGTATAGACAGTGTTAGACAAGGATATTCCCACTCGTCCCTAATCCCTCCAGTCAGTCCCTGCAGAAGATTGAGGGGGTGGGGAGGGGCAGGAGGACAGCCTCCATCACGTGTCTGCTGGGTGGGGATTTTCAAACCTTGGGCACCTGGTGGGTGCAGGAGGGAAGTCCTTCTCTGTATGCTCCCCTGCCTTGCCCCCAGGCAGGGCTGGAAGAACCTATTTCAGAAGAGAGGATAGGAAAAGGAGGGGCAGGAAGAGACACTCTGTGGTTCAGTCCTGTGTCCTGGGTTTTGTGTGATTCACCTCACCTCACCATTTTCTAGGTGAGGAAACCAAAGCTCACAGAGGTATAATCTCAGCTACGGGGCAATGGATCATTGCTGAAACCCATGCCTGAGCGACTCCAGAGCCACCCTCTCCCCATAGGGCGCTCTCAAACATTTCCACTCGAGTTCCCTCTCCGTAGAAGAGGGGTCTGTACTCCTGATAAGGCTCGAGAGTGGCCAGCCATAATGAGCTTGACATTAAAAAAAAAAAACTCAGTTGTTTTAGCTGAAGAAAATGCATACCAAGATTGCATTTGTATTCCGTAATACATCTGTGCTTGCTTTAAATTAAAAAAAACAATGTCCCTTCTTGTCAATCATCTAATGCATCTGACACTCTGTGTTGGCTGGGGCTTTGGGTACCCCTGGTAGGCCTGTGGTTGCACTCCCTGGGGGTCCCAGGCCCTGGCTGAGGAGTCTGTCACTCTCGCCTTGCCTGTCCCCAGCTGACACATTTGGCTGCACTCCCACTGAAAGGCTAGCACCCGCCTGGGAACCCGGGAGGCTCCGAGGTCCCCAGGCTACCGCCCCTTCTCTGGAGCTGGCTGGTGGGGATCCGCCAGAAGGCCTCAGCTGGGCTTTAGGCATCTGTGTCTCCTCCAATAATGACTTTCTATAAATCAGATCTGCCCGCTGCTTTGTTCTACACTGCTCCCAGCCAACAGCAAAACTCTCTACCCAACATCATAAATCCACCTTCATTTTCTTTCCAAATTTCTTTTAAGGTTTCTTTAATCACCACCTTGCAGCCTGGATGGATGCTCCCTAAAAGGGTGAGGCCAAATCGCAGAGGTCCTGGGAGGAAGTAGAGGTGGGGAGAGGCAGGGTCCAGAGGGAAGGGAGAATAGAGGGATTCCAGTGGGAATAGGGCTAAAGATGCCCACACCTGTGCCCTGGAGGACACACCGGGGAGACACGTGGAGAAAACCTCCAGGGCAGGGGCTGGTCCTACTTGCTTTGTGCTTCCCCCTGTGTTCAGACAGTAAAGAATTCACCTGCAGTGTGGGAGACCTGGGTTCCATCCACGGATTGGGAAGATCCACTGGAGGAAGGCATGGCAACCCACTCCAGTATTCTTGCTTGGAGAATCCCCATGGACAGAGGAGCCTGGCAGGCTACAGCCCATGGGGTCCCAAAGCGTCGGACACAACTAAGCAACAAAGAACATGGCTGTGCTCCCTACACTCGGGAAATGACCAGCATCCCTCTGTCAGAACCTCAGAGGAGGGTGTTGATGTCCGCCACACTTGTGGGTACTGTGTGCCACACCCTGTGCCAGGCATGCCTATGTTTACCTCTTTTAACATTCCCATTTTGCAGGCAAGAAAACTGAGGCCCAGAGAGGTTAAGTTGCTCTCTATTGCCTGGGCAGGAGGACATGGTGGAAGCAAGATCTGCACCCAGCACTCTGGCTCCAGACCCTGGCTACTTAGCAGTTCTGCTAGAGGGCTAATTCAAGGTGCTCAGAGAGGCCTGGGGACATGTCTGAGATCATTGGGGGGCCACAGAGGCGGCTGCAAAACTTTTGGTCCCCTTGAGTTCCTGACAGGCCCTCGGCCATGGGGAGAACTAGTTCTTAGGATTCCCATGCAGGGCAGTTCAGGCTACAAGAGGCTGCAGGCAGCTGGGGAAGCCGGGGCTAGGAGAACCCGGAACCACCAGGGAGTGGTCTTGCCGCTGCTCAACTCTGCATGGGAGGCTCGGGCAGCGCCTCCCTCCAGGGACCCTCGAGTCCCCCGAGAGCGGGCGCGCTGGCCGCTAGATGGCACTGTGACCCAGCAGAGCGGCGGCCGGCGGCGGAATCGGGAGTCTGGAGAGGATGCCTCCCCTCCCCCTCCCGCGGAGCCCGAAAGCCCGGTGTGGGCTTCGCCATTGCCCGCCCTGCAGCCCGGGATGCCCGGGCCAACCCCCCTGCTTCCGTGAGCAGCCCAGGCCAGGCAGCTGTTTCAATCAGAAAAACCGGGAGTCGCATTTAAAGTCCAGAGGGCCAATCCCTGGGGCTGCGTTTCTGGTGGGTGCGCCTCTTCCTTCTTCACCAGCCCCTCCTGTCTTGCAGGCTGGAGCAGGATTCTCAAGTTGGAGGTCGTTTGAAAGGTCAGCTGATTCTGGTAGGTTAGGCATCATCGGCTGGGGCTGTAAGTGCTAATGTCTCTGCAAACCTCCAGTGTGACCTTGGGCAAGTCCTTTCTCCTCTCTGGACCTCGATTTGTTCTTTTGCAAACGGGCGGTCCTCTGTGGTCCATCCGGCAGATGGGTGTTGTGTGCCTTGGCTCCAGGGACATGCAGCTCTCTGACTGCGCAGCTGGCCGAGGCTTGCTTCCCTCCCAGCCTGTTCAGGCCCTGCTCCTCACTGTCTACATCTTTCCCAGGCCCCAGGGCACCCTCCTGGAGCTGAGTCTTGGCCATGTGCCAGAGCCTTGGCAATCAGGCCAGGCTCTGGTGGTGGCCGTTACCTTTGGGGTCCGTTCCTGAGGGGGCGTCTGGGCTAGTTTTCCAGCCAGATGTCCATGTGTCGTGAACAGAGTGACTATGGGGGCTGCAGGGTAGCGCTGGGGGGCTTGGAGGGCAGGGAAAGGGGGGGCTGGGGAAGGCGGGCAGACAGAACAGTAAGTTGGTGGGCCAAATAGGTTCTTCTCAGCCAAATGGCTCTTGGAAATCTGCAGAGCTGCTCTAACGTGTCCTCTGGGCATGCCAGCTGCCCCGGCCTGCCTGCACGCTCCACAGAAACTGCTGTCCCTTCCTTGAGCTGTCCGGTCCCGCCAGTACAGCCTGGCGCAGCTGCCCGGTGCCCCCGTCCCCACCTGTGCTCCTCAGCTGTCTTGTCTTGGAGACATCCCTGGTTTCCATCAGCCCTCCTTCCCTACCCCTGGTTCTGCCAGCCCCCCTGCCAGCCCCGCCAGCGTGAACAATGTCCCCTCATGCTCGCACCCTGCTGCAACCTTATGAATTCTTTGATTCTGTGTACAGCCCTCGCTCCCAGACCTTGCCTCCCTTCCAGCTCATCATTTTCAAGTGCTTCCTCTCCACAGCCCACCCTCCTTCTCCTGCAGATCAAGGCACTTAATTGCCAAGCCAGCCCAGTGCACAGAACTGGGAACTATTCAGAAAAATTGACTGTGCAAGTCGAGGCTGAAGCTCCTGCATGTTTATTCCTTTTCCCAGGAAAACATGGTTTATTACTGACACTCAGCCTCTTTGCTGCTTGCTCCCATGCAGAGCTCTCGCACACTTTGATCGGGCTTGAGTCGTGTAAACTATTTTATTGTCTAGTCATTTGTTCCCACAAACTTTGTAAGACAGGTTAACATCAATCTCCCCCATTCACTGAGGTGGAGGGCTGGCTAGAGAAAGGCATCGTAAACTCAGGGGAGGCCGTGACAACCCTTTCTGGGGAGAACTTTGAGATTATGCCACCACCCAGGTGGCTGAAGGCAGGGGAGTGGCCCAAATGACCCTTCAAGGATCGTTCCAGCCCCCCAGACTTGGAACCAGGTAGGCCGCCACTTGGAATTCTGTAGTGCTGGTTGGGATGGACATATCAGGAAGGTCGACTGCTCAGAGAATTTCTACATTCAAGGTGCAGGTAGGATGTCAATGAGGCCACAGTACACGTGAGAAGTTGTGTACAGCTCTGGCTTCCTGATTTTTGGCATCCTAAACAGGAACTAGATTGCTCTGCCATCAGCAGTCTATTGGCAGATTATCAGAGTTTAGTCAGCAGCCGTGCTGGAATTAGAAAAACAGCCTTCCCTAGAAAGATCTCCCTGTCAGAGACTCTGACAATAGGTCCCCCGTCCTGAAAGATGTGGGGGGAGTGTGCTTTAAAAAAAAAAAAGTGCTGGAGAGGTTTGGGAATAAGAACACAATTCTTTGAGCTCAGTTAGCTGAGACGGGACCCAGCTGAAGCTTAGGGATTTAGCACTCAATTCCTGGCTGCTTATGTGTAAGTAAATAATTTCGTCTGCTGTTTGGCAATAAAAAATGCTTTAAATCTTGGCCTCTGTGATTTGTCAGTTTTCTCCTACAGAACCTGTTCACCCATCACTTGGGTTACAGCAGGGAATGGGGTAAGGGGTTCCAAGGAGAGAAAAGATGCGATGATCTTCTGGGCTATGTCTGATGTCACCCACTGTGCCCGCCAAAGCCCACCCCACCAGATGTCCCATCATCTGGAGAGGCGGCCTTGGAGGAAGCTGTCTGTGGGTGGTGGGATAGAATAAAACCTTCACTCTCCCTCCCCAGGGACACAGACCTGCCCTCTCTTGGCTGGAGCAAGAGAGGTGGTGGTCTCTGATGAATTGGACTCAGCCTTGCAGGGCCTGAAGCCTAGCCCCAGCCCCCGGCCCCTCCAGCTCACAGCCCCACCCCCTACCCCGTTCCACTCTGCCTACCTGTGTATTTGCTGACCCCAGCTTCAGCTGCTACATCTCTGAGCGCCAGGATGCCCCGGGAGAGGTCACTGGCCTCGGGGTCCATTTCGATGAGGGCGTCAGGGCCCACGTTACCGTAGGCATAGTTGGCGATGTAGATGGAGTAGCGTCCGGAGCCCTGAGCAGGCAGGGAAGGAGGGTCAGTGAGCAGGACCATCTGTGGGCCCAGAAGCAGATCCCACCTCCACTTACAGGACCGTAGCTCTTTCTCGGGGTTCGGGCTCTGCTCCTGGGGTCTGGCGTGCGTGACCTTGCACGACACAGCTCCAGAGGTGCTTTTTCACAGAGGCTACCAAGTGTGGGATGCCCCCAGCGTCCTACAGCACAGCGCTTCCCCTTCTCTCCTGTTCCAGAAGAACATCCCTCCCTCTCCCCCACAACCACCTTTTTATAGACAATTTTCTAATGTGCCTCCCTCCAGCTGAGCTCTCTCCAGCTGCCAGCCAGGGTAGCTGCTCAATAAATATTTGCTGATTGATTGATCTACCAATTCCCATTATTCTCAGTCTCTCTCTCTCTCCCATTCAAGCTTGCTCCAGCCAAGATGACAAGCAAATTCCTGAGCCATCTCCCTCCCCCACCCCCACCCCATACTTCCTCACTCCTTGATTTGGATGGCACAAGAGGTTCGGCCACGCCAGGCTCCTCCTTCCCACTTCTACCCCCTTGCTTTTCCTGTACCAGAAAGAAATTGTATATTGCTTCTGCCTTTATAACAGTGTCTCAGATATATATATATATATTTCCCCCTTTGCATCCAGGAGAAGCCCTGGGCACCAGTTCCTTGTTACTGTAGTCATTCTCCTCTCTAGTCCAAAACACGGCTGATGAAAGATTCTTTCCTGCCTGTTATTATAATGGTGTTATTTCTTCAATGGATGCTTTCTTTCCCCCAAGAGATCCACACAATTTCTCAATCAGTTTTCTAGCTTTCCTCTTATCCCTTGCAGCATTTCCCTCCAATTAATCAGACAGTACATATTTCTTGAGCTCCAACGATGTGCAAGGTCCTGGGTTATAAATGTACTTCAGACAAAGTCTTTGTCCTTAGGTTGCTTATAGTCTGGTTTTAAGGAAGCTGACAAGCTACTGTATAGCACCGGGAACTATACTCAATATTTTGTAATAACCTGTAAGAGAAAAGAATCTAAAATATATATATATATATATATATATATATATGTATGTATGTATAGATGAATCACTTTGCTGTATCCTGAAACTAACACAACATTGTAAATCAACTATACTTACATAAAAAATAAAATTAAAAACAACAACAACCAAGGAAGCCATGAGCACAAGACAACCTGGGAGAAACAGCTGACTTTAAGACAGCACAGCGTGCTCTGTCACTGCCCTCTTTTCAGCTCTCTTTGCTTTCTTGTATTTCCTCCCCATGGTCCCATGAGAGCCCTCTCTCGCCTAACTGGTCACTTTGTCCCTTTGGAACCATTTTCTTCGGGGAAGTTGATGAAGAGCCACCTGGGGCTAACAGGTGGGTGAAGCAAGGAAGGTGCTCAAGCTCTCCTGGAGGAATCAGACGTGTCAGCAGCTACAGGTGTGATTAAGACTGGGTACAGGGTTTCACCAGAAGGGCTCCTAACCCAGAGGAAGGGCACCTGGCCATAGAAAGTTTAGAAAAGGTTTTCTAAGAGGAGTCTCGGCCAGGTGAAGTGGAGGGGAAAGAACCTTCCAGGCAGAGATGAGACAAAGAGTGATATATATCATATGTTGGGAAGCCGCAAACAGTTTGTTCAATGTTCCCAGAATATAAAATGCAAGGTGTGGCATGTCGGGGCAGGAAACTGGAGAAGGTGGCAAAGCTGTTCCATAAAGACTTTTCTGCCTCTTCATTTCTGGTTCTCTGGGTCTCTAGCCTGCTACCTGAATGATGTTGTAAAGCAGTGCATCAGTTTTGCATAGGGATCATGTGGGGATCTTGTGAAAATGCAGATTCTGATTCGGCTACCCAAGTCTTGTTACTCAAAACGGTCCCTGGGCCAACAGCATCAGTGTCACCTGGAAGCATGTTAGAAATACGGACTCTCAGGTTCCAGCCCAGACCTGCCGAATCAGAATCTGCATTTTCAGAAGATCTCCACATGATCCCTACGCAAAACTGAAGTCTGAGTTGCACTGCTTTACAACATCATTTGTGGTTAGGGAGAACTTAGAAAGATTCTTGCCCATCCCAGGAGCTTGGTGTACGTGTGTGGAATGACTGGATGAAGGGTGAATGGATGGGGCCAAAGGGGAAAGTGTGCCTTTACCATGATGCTGCCTGACCCTACCAGCTGTTCGCAATCTCATCGACAAATGGGCAATTAAGCCCAAATGAACTGAAATGCACTCTGCTAGAAATCAGGATATTTATAAAATGCGGTTATACCTAGTTCCTTACATCAGTGTATTGGGTTGACAAAACAGGAAAATTGTAGATGTGTTACAGTTATAGAAGACTGCAGAAATTCACATGTGAACTTGACCACAGTAATTGTGGGTGGGGGAGCTGATTCCAGGGGAAGGAAGATGTTTCTGCAGCTTTGGGTCCAGGGTAGTGGGACCCATCCTCTAGTCTACCTCAGAATCAAATGGCAGCAGGCAGGGGGCAGGGAGGTGGTGGTATGAAAGCAACATGAATGCTGGGTCCTATCCCCAGAGTTTCTGATTCAGGGGGTCTGGAGGGCGCCCTCAAATCTGGATTTCTAACAAGTTCCCAGGTAAAGCTGGTGCAGCTGTTTCAGGAACCACACACTGAAAACCGCTGGTCTAGGGCTGTCAGTCTGGATCCTAGTCCAAGCTCTGCCCCTAACTGGCTCTACGTCCTTGGGCAGGTTCCTCACCCACTTTGGCTGCACCTCCTGACGTGTTACATGGGAATCGTAGCCCCCCTGCTTCCTGGCAGGGTCGTTGAGAAGATGAAATGAGACAACGCATGTGAAAGGACTTTGAAAAGATAAAAATGCTATATAAACATGAGGCATAATCATTATCGATCAGGGAACGCTTCTTGTAAGAGATAGGCTTTGGGCTGGATCCAGAAAGGTAGATGAGTGATGAGGCAGCTGAAGATGAAGGGCAGTGGTGTTCCAGGTTAGAGGCAGAGAATGGATGAGGGCTGCGAGGCGAGAGGGAGAGAACAGCACACTGTAGGGGTTGAGACTTTTACCTGGTGCAAAGCATCCAAGCTTAGCACACATCAGAGTCACCTTTGGGCCTAGTTGAAACCCAGGCTGCTGAAACCCCACCCCCAGTGGTTCTGATGGGTAGGTCTGGAGGGTGGGGCTTGAGAACCTCCATTTCCAACAGCGCTGATGCTGCTGGTCCAGAGACCACCAATCAGGTACCAGCTAGGGGCTGTAGGGCAAAGGCTGTAATAGAACCTGTGGTTAGAAATGTGTATTTGGTACAGGTTTACCCAAAGGCAAGGTAGCAGGGAGGTAAAAAGGTGTCTGATTATTTTCAACTAGGCAGGACTCAATCTCTGGCTTTGCCTGTCACTTGTTATATGGTGATGAGGTCAAGTTGCTTAAGTGCTAGAAGCCTTAGTTTCCCTATCTGTAAAATGGGGATAATAACAGCATTTACCTCATTGGCTTATTTGAAAATTCAGTAAGATGGTGAATGGAGATCACTTAGCACAGAGCTTGGCACGGGGCTAGTTTAATAAGCATAATAGCTATTATTATTAGTGTTTTGTTATGTTAATATTATATTCCTATTTTTGCGATTGCTCTTGTGTTTTCCTGCACCACACTGCATCCCTGTCTCTCAGCTGCCACACTGGCCTTGACCTCTGCACAGTTCTCAGGCCTCGGGGGTTGCCAGGGTGGTGGCTGAACATGGACAGTAGCCCCTCTTCTGACGGCAGACAGACCGTGGGGGGCGCTTTCTAGTTCCCTGAGGCTGGGTGTGAGTAGGGAGTGAGCGAGCCACTAAGTGCCTGCCTACTGTGCTTCATGCCAAAGTGTCTTTCTCCCCCCTTTTTCCTTTTTGCACTTCACATGGTGCCTCTGTCCTGTGGTTAAGTGCGTGGGTGTGTAGGTGACCTTGTTAGGACAGACTGAATCTCTCTGTGATTAACCTTCAGACCCTCCTACCAGTGCTGAGAAGGTTCCCACCTTAGCTGGGGGTGGGGCGCCCTGGTCATGAAGGGGCTAAGGAGATTGGAAGCCAGGAGGAGACGGAAGAGGCCTCTCAGAGGCCAGGCCTGGTGGCCCCTCCGCCCCCCAGATCCTCCCCACTCCCTGGGGCTCTCATGGAGCCTCCTCCCTGTTTCCTCCCACCAGGCGGGAGTCCAGGTGGCACAGATTCAGGTCAGGGCTAAATGTGTCTTCACAGCGCAGCTTGGCTGCCCTTCCCAGCACCAGCTTGTTAAGAAATAAATATTTATACCTGGCACCTGCCTTTTCCCAAGGCCTGGAGGCCCCTGCTGTGAAGATTCACTCTGAATCCCCAACCCCTTTGATGCCATCTCCAATCCCGGATGAACGAGTTGGCCCCCTCGCCCCAGCTCCCAGAATGGGGGCCAGAGACGCTCCCCGGGAAGCTGGGCAGCAGCTGGGTCCCTGATTTAGTGATGATGTTTTGTAAAAGCCAAGGTGGGGCGGCAGGGGAGCAGGTGACAGGAGGGATAAATCACCGCCACGCCACGCTCTGGCTCTGGCTGGGTTGGCTGGGATGCCCGGGCGGGGCCCCCTCACAGGACGGATGGTTGCAGCTGCTTCTTCCCTCCTCACTTGGCCTTTCTCCCTGACACTTTGAGCTGAGCACCAGTCTGCCGGGTGGACCAGCAGGGCAGGAAAGTATCTATGGTGCTTTGGATTAACTAGATTACCTGTACGTTCAGGCAACCCTCCGCTGACCCGCTCATGAGCCCTTTGCTATGCCTTTGTTTGTTCCATAAATATTTATGGGGGAGGGGGCCTGATGGCTCAATGCCTGGCACATAGTTGGCACTTCATAAATGAGTTGAATTAACAAACACAAGGTTAAGAGCTGACAGATTCTGATTCATGTCTGAGCCACACTACCAATACATTGTGGGTCCTCAGGCAGGTCCCTGCTCCACGCTGGGGTTCAGTGCCCTCCTCTGTCCAGTAGACACAAAGATGACAGCCCCTGGTTGCCGGGAGGGCCTCAGGGGAGAAAGGATGTGAAAGTATGTTAGCACCTACTATGTGCAAGGCCCCCTGGGAGTGGCCTTGAGCTCTGCCCTTGGGAGCCATGCTCTGTCTGGGGATGTCTGCTGGGGATCCCCTCCTGGCCATCATGCTGCTGTGTGCCTCCCTTCTCCCCAGGCCCCCATGTACCCCTGGACTCACCTTCCTGTCCACGCAGGCCACAGAGCGCCCGGCAAAGAGGCTGGCCACGCCGCGGGCCACATTGACCTCGTCACTCAGGATGTCTTCCCAGCGGTTATTGCGGAACTTGAACAACTTGTCCGTGTACGTGGCCACCCCTGGAGAGAGGAGGGAAGAGAGGGCTGGTGGTTAGTGGGGTGCCTGTCCCAGGTGTTGGGGCCACAGGTGGATGGGTCACCTGCTGCACGGTGAACGCTCCTCACAGCCCTCAGGCAGTGGTGACCCCTCTCCTGGGGACACCCAGTTATTCTCAATTGAGAGAAGACACTGAAGCTTATGAAGATGGCCAGCCCAGGCCTCAGGAACTTTGGAAGAAGTGTGACCGCTAGTGTGGGTCAGAGCTGATCCTCAATAGCAGGATCTCACAGTCTGCACCACACTTCTGTGGCATCAGGAGGGACATCCTGGGATTGCCAGTATTTCACATCCAGACTCAACCAAGAATGTCTCTTTTTTTCTAGGAGCTGCTCCCTGCATGCTCTGCTCAATCACAGGACCTGATGTGGGTCTCAGAAGAAATGGTCCCAGTCAGTGGGCGGGTCTCGAAATCCAGATGGAGGGCGGGGCTGGGAGTTGAGCTCTGACAGGGGTATCACCAATAGCCTGAGAAACCTGGATGGCAGTGGGGTCAGCACTCATGGGGTGAGGGTTAGTGGAGAGGCAACGGACTCAGACTGAGGGGAGCAGATGATGCAGCAGCTAAAATTTGGGGTTTTGAGTAAACCAACCTGAGTCTCAGGCTCGGTTCTACAGAGACTCTTCCAGATTTTAGTTGCTGACTGTGGGCAACTTGAGCCTCAGTTTCCTTATTTGGAAGTGGGGGTAACAATAATAACTACATTCCACTTTAATTCGAGGGATAAATGAGATAACTCAGGTTACGGGCTGAGCACAGCGCCCCTCCAGAGTTGGGGGTGGTCCGCGACAGAAATGACTATTCTGGTTTCATAGACGGGAGACCCTCTGAGGTGCTTCAGGGACTTCAGCCCTGCATTGCAGGGGTGTGTCGAGAGAGTCTCAGTGTGTGAGAGAGTGTGTGAAAGTGTGTAGGAATAAGCAGGAGTAAGTGGGTGTATGAGAACAAGAGTGAGTAAAAATGAGTGAGCGTAAGTGTGAGATTGAGTGAGTGTGAGAATGAGCGTGACAGTGAGTGACAGGACAGTGAGTGCATGAGTGTGAGCATGTTTCGGTGAGGGCTATTTATGGAAGGGTCCTCAGGGGGCTCTGACTCGGGGGGGACAAACGCTGCCCTGAGTGGCCTCACATGGGGCCCTCCTAAGGCCACGGGGACCCACAGGGGAAGGTGCATTCTCTGTAGGGCCTGGACTTGACCCCAGGGACAGCTGCCAGACTCTGGGGAGCTGCCCAGGGACAAAGCCATGCCACCTGGCCTGGCCCTCCCGGGCGTGCAGAGACCAGTTCCCACGAAGGGGAAGGCGCTTCCCGAGTGGAACGGGAGGCAGATCCAGGGGTCCTGCAGGTGTCTGTGGGTGGTGGGGGAGACCTGGGCTGAGGAGCAGAAGCCAGGGTTTGCCAGAGCTGCTGCGGCTGGTGGGGGAATGCCCACTGGGGCTCCCAAGAGTCTGCACAGAGCTGCTGTGGCTGCTGGGGGCCCACTGGGGCTCCTGGGGGTCTGCCAGAGCTGCTATGGTTGGGGGTGGTGCCCACTGGGGCTCCCAAGGGTCTGCTAGAGCTTCCGTGCCCGGGGGTAGGTGCTCACTGGGGCTCCTGAGGAGCCCAATCAGGATAGAAGCGCAGGTGTGGACTCGGCCCAAGCCCATGTCTAGCTCTGATTCCCATTTGTCCGAGCCAGTTCTTTATTCTCTTAGGGCCTTGGTTTCCTCATCTGAGAGTTGGGGGTAACAGCTGGCCTCCCCACTCCCAGCATGGCTGCGGGAACTGCAGGGGAAAACTCTGCGGCCCCTGTTTGCTCTGCACCACCTGGGTCTCTAGGCCCTTGTTGCAATCCCTGGGGAACAGATATGTTTAGAAACTTAGATTATTTTCCCTTTCACATTTCAAAAAGGTAACACAACGCACACCCTGTTTATTATATAACACCCCCAGCAGGAACCAGGGCAACACCCTGTAATTAAACACATTAATATTTCTGCAGTGAAATATATGAATATCACACCGAGTGGGATAAATAAAGCCCATAAATAGCTCACATCAGCTCAGGACAGGTTTTGCTATCAATTCACTTTCCCACAAACTTAAAAAAAGCACTTGAGGCTTTCAGAGTGTTCTGGGCTTCAGGACTGCGGGAGAGGAGCACGGCTATTCCCCAGGCAAGAGGCAGCCTTGTCATCGCCTTCTAATGCCTGGGGGGCCTCCGAGGATGGTCCTGCAGCTTCTGGATGCCCAGCCTTCACAATAGCGAGCAACCCTTACCCTTCTCTGTCAAACCAGGGCCTCTTGAGACTACACCTCAGCTTGTCTAGTTCCCCCTGAAATTTGACCGAGATTAAACTCAACCAAAGCTTGGGCTGGGTGAGAAAGCAGCTCCGGCAGTGGGGGCTCTGCAGACCTCTGATGGGCCCCTCTGCATACAGTGGGAAAACTTTCTCAAACCTCTGAGTCCCTGCCTTAGCTAGGCAAGAGGAAAAAACGAGCCCAGGGTGACTCGATCCCCCTCTATTTGCCTAATTACCCCCGATTCTTCCTGCTCACATTTCCCAAAGTGTGTTCAGTGGAATCTGGTCTCTCTGAGCTGCCTGGAGAAAAGATTTCATGATTATCTGAGCTCAGGAAAGACTGCACCTTTCACCCCCCACTTGGAGATTCTCAATGGACACCAGTCTATCAAAACTTTGAAAAGTCTTGCAGTATATTACAGGCTTAATTTCATGTAAGCCAGCCTTTCCCAAACACACTCAGCCATGGCACCCCTTTTTGCAGCTCACCTCTTAGAATCCTGCAGAACTACCAGTGTTCTGTGCAAATTGCTGCCCTGGGGTGTTGACATCAGGCCAGATGCTGGGCTTTGTGGCCAGAGGTGTTAGGGCAACACGTACTGTTAGCCTCTTCCCTCATTCCAGTCTCCTGGCTTCTGAGCTGACCAGGGACGCCCCAAAGAATAAACTAATTAAGGTAAAATGTGCAACAGTGATGCAGAGCCTTGTAGATCATAAATGGGAACGGCAAAATCAATGGCAGGCCTTCTGCAGGCAGAGGCCTGGAGGCCTGGGCGACAGGAGGGATGGGAGCCTGTGATTTAGGAAGAGCAAACGCTCTGGCAGCTGCAACCTGGGTAATTAGGTGTGTCAGGAAGACAGATAAACAGCGAGCTGTGCGGGTCGATGGCACTGGCAATAAACACCCAGCACTGGCCCCTGGCCCATGTCAGCGCATAATCCCACCTTCTGGCTCCTTGTAGCTGCACTCTGCCCTAGGGTCCCCCACTGAGTCAGGGACAGCAGCTTGGGAAGGAGAGGGCAGAGGGCCTCTCCTGGGTCCTGGGGGAAGATTCCTAGAAAGCAGAGGCCTGGGAGAAACAGAGGGCGTTCAAGGGCAGGGTACGGGGCTCTGGAGGTCACATCCCCTGTGAGAAACAATCCTACCCAGAATCTGGTATGTTGGCACTAAGGGAGCTTTGAAGGTCTCAGTGTGTGCATGCTAAGTCACTTCAGTTGTGTCTGATTCTTTGGGACCCCATGAACTGTAGCCTGCCAGGCTCCTCCGTCCATGGGAATTCTCCAGGCAAGAATACTGGAGTGGATTGCCATGCCCTCCTCCAGGGGTCTTCCCAACCCAGGGATTGAACCCGGTCTCTCATGTCTCTTACATTGGAAGGCGGGTTCTTTACCACTAGCATCACCTGGGAAGCCAGCCCAATGGAAGGGCAGTTGTGGCAAGTGCCAGGTGGCAAGATACTGGAAGGCCAGTGGAGGAGGCTCAGGGCCCCCCACTCCCTGCCCGTGCTGGGGAGGCCCCAGGGAAGTAGGAGTCTCGGTCCCTGACTCGGGGCGTTTATAGTTCATTAGCGGACAGGAGGGCTACAAAAAGGAGATGCCATGGGACTGTAGTAAAAATAAAACTACTTAACATCCCTATGGTGGTTTCTATATGCCATGAGCTTCACGTACATTCACTCACTAACACCTGCCACAAGCCTACAAGGTAAGTGCTATTTTCAAGACCAATTTACAGATGAAGGACCTGAGGCACCAGAGGCAAGGGGACTTGCCTATGATCCCACCACTAGCAGAACCCCACAGAGATGATAGGAGAGTACATCCCGGAGATGCAGTGAAGTCAGTCACAGTGATCAGGGAGGGCTTCATGACAGAGGAGGCACTTGAACCGGGACGTGAAGCATCAGAGGAACAATAGCACAATTCCAGTGTGCAGAGCACCTAGTATAGCCAGGCTCTTCATGAAGCACTTTTTTTTTTTTTTTAAACAATCATCATCTTGCCTGAATCTCACAGTGCCTTGAGAGGCACTGTAGCCCCATTTTACAGATGGAAAAATTGAGGGGCAGAGAGGTTAATTTCCCAAGAGCTAGTGTGTGGTGCAGACAGAGTCAAATCCAGGTCTTTTTGACTCTGAAGCCTACACTTCTGAGCACTGCACCCACAGCTTGTCAGGTAGAGCGGGGGAGGGAGGGTGCTAAGGGCAGGAAGGGAAACACAGACAAAGACAGAGAGGGGACACTGAGTCTGCCTAGAGGTGGGGTTTGTGCAGGGGCAGGAGGAGAAGCAAGGCAGGCCAGGAAAGAGCCGCTAATCCAGCACTGAGGCCGAAGGAGGCACAGGTGGTTTCTGATCTGGGGAAGACAATGTTTCTGGAAGATTCACCTGGCAGTGGAGTGAGGTGTGGGCTCACAGGGGAGATAGTGAAGTGGGGAGGCCACTTCTGTAGTAGCTCAGGCACGAGAGGTAACGGGGAAGTGGGGAGAAGTGCTGCGTTCCAGAGGCTAGGGCGGGAGGTGCGGCAGGTCAGAGCAAGTCCACGGTGTGGGGGAGTGAGGGAAGTGGGGCATTGGGCCAGCTGGGGTGGGAGCAGGAGCTTGGCATTTTCAGGGATCGTAAGGTGGCCAAGAAGGCATGCCCAAGAGCTCGCTGGACACGATGGATGGCAGTTTGCAGAGAAG